TAAGTCGGAACTGGCATCAGCCGCTGCTGAAACTGATCAGTTTCAACAGCGGCTGAATCTGGATGCCAGTTCCGACTTACATACAGATTCAACTTAAGAACAAACCTACAGTCCCTATCTTGTACGTAGCCCGGGGACTGCCTGTATATCTCATTGCTCTGGAATGTGTTTGTCTTTGTTTTTACTTAGTACACCAGTGACACTGACAGTTAATCTGTTGCCAGGTCTTCTGTAAGTTTATGGAGCTGAAATATATACTTGCATTGAAATGAGTTAAGTATGTCCATAAAACCGTGTTTCTCAAACTGTGGGTCCGACCCTCCAGGGGCTCACAAGCAACTTAGAGGGGGGTGACGGTATCACAAAGTTTGAGAACCCCTACCATAAATACTAGAGAGATACCCATTTTATGAAGCTCAGAACTAAACTTCCTCAAAGTTTGGAGGGAGAGTTGGTTACAAATTTAATTTCAATTTCATGGCAAAATTCATCAGCACACATTTGGGGGGGGAGGGGCTTGGGTTTTTTGTTTGTTTATTATTGTTGTTCTAAATTAGAATAAAAAGCTAAAATGTCAATGTTTCCTGTGAAACAAAAGTTCTGAAATAATCTAAATTTGTTTCAATAACTTTGAATTATGTCATTGACAGTGTTGAAAAGTATGTTTTAATAATGTTAAAATGCTTTGTTTTGTATTTAATATATTATAAAAGTCCACACAGAATTAATCAAAACTAGGTTGAAATTAAATATTTGTACCTTATCTAAATGAACCACTTAGATTTTCCCTATTAAAAATGCCATTGAAATTGGCACATTCCTGTGAAGCATTTTGATTTTGATGAAACTACATCTATCTATGGGAAACTATTCAGTTGAAAAATGTTTCATCCCAGCCCTATTTGAAATTGTTAGTACACTCAAGTTTGTATTTGGCCCAGCATAGAGAGATTGTTCAGTCTCAAAGGCCAGAATTAGATTCAAAGTTCCTCAAAGATTGTGGTGATCAGATTCCAGGGTTTTGGTTCAGACCCATCTTAGCTAAATAGCAGAGTTAGGTGAAATTCTGTAGTTTCTCTTTATAGAGTTTCCTGTAAATGTTTCTTTCAGAATGGTTCTAAGAGAAGGAGGGGAGGTTTGCACACCCTGAGAGTCTCTTTGAATTTCAGATTCACATGAACCCTGGCAGAACCTTGATGTCATAGCCCCCTTGAGTCTTAATTGGTTTTGTGGTAAAACGATACATAACCAGCTTCAGATGTGAAACCATAAATCTGTTAGGCACAGTTTAAAATTAATCTAAGTTGATTGCAAAGGGGCACATATTTTAGCAAATCTGCTAATTAATGCATTGGAGTTTGTATCAGAACATAGAAATTTCATGACAATACCTGCAACCACACTTCTCAGAAAGTGGCATATAGTTCAATAGTTTACTGAATGTCCCCCTTCTCCAGTTATCATGTGTTGAAATGCAACTTGCCCTTTCTGCACTAGAACTTGACAATGTGTCAACCATCCTGTTTTTAAACATTTATCCCAGTCTAGACAGACGTAAAGGCCAAGCAAGAGAACTCCAGCCTGAGATGTATCTGTGACTGCCACTAGGCAAAAGGGCCTACTAACCCATGATTCCCGAGAAGACAGAAGCACGCAGACAGAATGCTCCATCTGCCTGACCCCAATTCAGAATTTGTTAGGGAACATTTTTCGCCTGAGAGAGTCACAAACTGGATCTTTTGCTTAATATACTCAACAGATTCAGGGATTCAAGCAAGTGTTGCCTTTTTGCTCTCCAGAGACAGAAGTCTCATAACCCATGGAGAATACCTATCAGGACAAGAACAGTTGGCATATTTTTGCCTTCAAAACAGCCACCTGCCAACACTAAGAAGTACAAATAAAGAAAGAAACAAATGACAGGTCAAGTGCTTGGTAAAACATAAGAATGTTGATGTGTTTTTCTTCCCTGTCACAATCTTTTCAAGCATATGCTATGCAACAATTTTCATTACAGGCCAATGAACATAATAAATGGCCTATAAAAAGGTAGATAAAATAAGCTGAAAATAATGGGAATGAAATAAAACCAACTGCTTAAAAAACCGTGTGTTCTGAATAACAATGTTTAGAGAACTCTATAAGAAGCGCTTTGTTTGGCTGGGAATTTGAGGAGGGGATTATCTTCGTTTAGTAGCCCATCCGTCAAGAACCATAAAGCATGCAGTTGAAATAAAATCTGCTCCAATCAACTTCTCTCAGAAAAGACATGACCTTTTGCAATTCTGATCTTCTTAAGGCTGAAATACTGACGTATGCATCCTATGTTCCAGATACGCCTGTTTTATATCATATGACAAGGAAAATGCTAAGCAGAGGCAGCATTTGACTCCTCATCTCAAACAGACTTTAAATCAGTGGCTCTAATTCCTCCCTAGGAATTTCTGGCAGTAGAATTATACTAGGGAAAATGTAGCTCTAACTTTTATTATGGACGAGACACTATGGAAATTGTATGTATTTACATTTTTCTCTCACCTGGCACTGCTCACATCTTAGATTACTAACATCAAAAGAACTTTTAAAATATATTTTACTTTTTCTTATATGCACTGCTTGTTTACTTTTTACATTGCCTTTACTTTAGACAGTGATATTAGCCTGGCACGGGTTCCATTTCTGGTTCTCGTGTGCTAGCACAATGCTGCTGTGTTCAGATTGCCACAACCCAAGCTTTAAAGAAATTTTAAAAAAAATGCAGTGTTCCCCATTTTTAGGGCCCTGTACTGGCCCTCAGGAGATCTGGATTCATTTTCCTGCTCTGCCAGAAATTCAATGCATGATTTTGGGCAAATTACTTAGCCTCTTTTGTGACTCAGTTCCTCAGCTGTAAAATGGGAATAATTAAAATTTCCCTCACACTCTGGCTACGTCTAGACTGCCATGATTTTCAGCAAATGCTTTTAACGGAAAAGTTTTTCTGTTAAAAGCATTTGTGGAAAAGAGCATCTAGATTGGCACGGACGCTTTTGCGCAAAAGCATTTTTTGTGGAAAAGCGTCCGTGCCAATCTAGACGCGGTTTTGCGCAAGAAAGCCCCGATCGCCGTTTTCGCCATTGGGGCTTTTTTGCACAAAACAGTTTTTAGCTGTCTGCACTGGCCCTCTTGTGCAAATATATTTGCGCAAGAGGGCTTTTTCCCGAACCGGAGCAGCATAGTATTGCGGAAGAACACTGAAAATCTTACATTATTAGATCGTCAGTGTTCTTGCACAAATTCAAGCGGTCAGTGTAGACAGCTGGCAAGTTTTTCTGCAAATGCGGAAAAACTTGCCAGTCTAGATGCAGCCTCTTTGTTTGTCATGTTTGTTTAAATGTTAGGCCCTTTAGGGCAAGGACTGTGTCTTACGATGTACTTGTCCAGCATCCAGAACAAAGGCACTTTGATCTTATGTGAGTGCTTCAAGCTGCCCCTTGTAATCAATGGGCCAAGTGTGTCTTCCCACTGTGTTCATTTCAAAGGCTTTGCACAAAAACCTCTTGCACAAGAGCATGTCCACACCTCAAAGCATGTCACAAAAGCGATGTGCTTTTGCGCAAGAGAGCATCCACATTGCATGGATGCTTTTGCGCAAGAAAGCTCTGATGGCCATTCTGTGATGGCCACACCTGTGCATTTTCCAGTAGGGGTTTCTTGTGCAAGAAACAGTTCTGGAGTGTCCACACCTGCCTTTTTGTGCAAGAACTCTTGAGCAAAAGGGAGTTATACTTCATAGAAGGAGGTTTACCAAAGGCAGAAAAAGCCCTCTGTTCTGCTGTTTTACTCTTGATTTTCTTGCACAAAAGCGCATGTGAGATGTGGACACGCCACGGGTTTTTGCATAAAAACCGCTGTTTTTGCACAAAAATCTTGCAGTGTAGACATAGCCAAAGAGGCTGTGAGTGTGGTACAGCCCCCAAATCTTACACTTCCCACTCTGGAGAGACTTAGTTCAGTTCCAGCTATTAGCCCAAATGATAGCTGACCTGGAATTGAGTGAGGACTTGTCTGGGATTCAAACCAGCATAGGCCTAAGATACTTGGGACAAACTTCCTTTGTTTGTTCTCTTTGGGCTCCCAGAGAAAGGATGTGACCCACTCATCACAGTGTATATTACATGTCCACCCCTATACCCAATCTACAGAGGATGTCAATATGTTACAATTCTCAGCTATATAGCCTGCCTCTTTAGCTTAAGCTGTAGAGACTGAGGCTTTTAGCTCTGGAAGTCCCTGATTCAGGCTTCACTACAACGATCTATCAGAAAAAGGTATACAAATTGCAGATATTCTGCAGATAACCTGAAAATGCTTAAATGCTACTGATGGGGAGGAAAAATAAGGGCATGCCTTTACTTCTATTACAATACCATGGTCTAGTAAAGTTCTTGGAAGGTGCAAAGTGGAAAAATAGTAAATATGTAGCTAATAAATGGCTATCCATTCTTAATACAGCTATGCCTCCAGCATGTCAAGAAGGGTTGCTACTAGGGATGTAAGTGACTGGTCGACTACCCAATAAGATGCTTATCAGGTAGTTAAGTAGTGACTTGACTAGTCACTCCACCCCACCTTGCTGCCTCTATCAATATCAAAAAGGAGGAGCAAGAGGGGAGGAGGAGCCTGTGCTGGGGGGTGTGTGTGTGTGTGTGTGGCTTAAATGCCGATTTCCCCAGCACCATCTGGGGAGGCAGAGGCATAGCTGGGATCGGGTGCAAGCTTGGAATCAGCTGACTCCCAGCTTGTGCCCAGTCCCAGATGCTGTGCATCTCCTTTTTAAATGTATTAAGAAACACCAGGCTTTTAATGCATTTAAAAAGCAGAGGTGCAGTGGTGGGACAGTTGATTCCCAGCTTGCACCTGGTCCCCTGCTGCAGTGCTGCAGTTTCTCCCCTTATCAATTAATTGAGTAGTTGATGGAAATTCCATTGACTACTCAATTAGCTAATTACACTTAATTTAACATCCCTAGTTACTACCTCTACATATTTCTGTGAACATCCCAAATCTCATGGTGCAATCCAGCACCCTGCAATCCAGCCTTGGGTAATGCCAAAATACCCCAAGGTATCTTTTGTAGCCTGGGAGATTGTGACATACACAGGGCATAATTTACACTACCGAGTATCTGTGTCACTCCTGCTTTCTAACTTGGGATGCAATTTACACTGCTTTACTGCTCCAGCCTCCAGTCATGGCATGCCTGCAGTCTCCAGCATGTAATTCACTCCCGTCTGTGTAGGCAACCTGCACCTATTTTGTTACCCCAAATAGAGTTTCCCAGATTCTTCAAACACACTCGATGAGCTAAAACAATAAAACAAGTTTATGAATTACTTGCACTCAAACTGTCTGTAATGAGACATGAAAGTCAAAAATGGTTACTAGAAAAAGATAAAAGGCAAGTAAAGAAAGCTAAATTCCAAGTTAAGTTTTTCGAACAAGATGTTCTGAGCAGTCAAACTGTTTAGGCCAGGACCCTTTCTCTAGGTCCATGGTTGCATCATTTGTTCTTTCTGGTGCAGTATTCAACAAAGGGAGAGGGAGAGACAGGAGAAGGAGTTGTTTCCCCTTCCTTTTTATAGTCCTCTTACCTACCTTTGAGATGCATTTCCAGGTGGAAGCATTGTGACTGGCAGTCTGTGCAGAGAGCATATAATATCCATTGGCCTTGTTTATACCTGGCTGAGGTGTCAACTTACCCTTTATCTCTGAGGCATTTGTTTGACCATTCCTTAGACCTGGAACATTGTTAGTAACAACGTACTCTTGAATAAAACAACTTTACATACAATGTTCCCACATGCATTTTACCATGACAACAATGACCGGCAAATTGTTAGTTTACATCACACAGATTGTTACCAAGGTGTGCAAGGTATGAACATGGGGGTACAATCTGTCATAGAGCTATCACACTTTGATGAGATATTTGTATGCTGTGCTATGCTGATTCCCATTCCCCACCTTCTGGGTACAGGACAAACTACACAAGCTGATAGGTCTTTTTCATTTTCAATGTATGTCACTCCATACTCCTCACATGTGATTGTATTTGCATTAATATATATATGGAGATATACCATCTCATAGAACTGGAAGGGACCTTGAGAGGTCATCGAGTCCACTCACTTGCCCTTACAGCAGGACCAAGTACCATCCCTTAAACTCACTGTCTACTTTGCAAATACACCGTGTTGCATGCTTGTGACTAATCACATTAAAATAAATTAAATGTATTTCCATGCAAGAGGCTAAGCATGTGCTTAAGTGTTTACAGGATCTGGGTCTAAATTGTAAACTCCTTTTGCTTCTTGGCTTAGTTTTTCAATACTTTTTATTTTCTATCACAAGGAGTACAACCACCACGGAAACAACAAAAGAAATAATCAGACTACTCCTAACTGGACAACAATATGCTAGCCACTCCCAGGTGTGTTATTGTAACTGCAGTCTGCCAGTCCTACCGTGGCTGTCCCCAGCCTTGATTATAGTGTACAGAGTCTCCACACACTCAGTGCCAGACCATCCCTGGATATGTCTGTCCTGCTCTGTCTAGCCCTTCTCCAGACAGACCAGTTATATTACGTTTGTTATTCCTTTAAGACAGGGGTGGGCAATAATTTTGGGCTGGGGTGGGGCCTAAAACAGAAAGGGTGGGGCCAGGATGCTTCCGGGCTTCCCCACCCACAGATCATGATTGGTCGGGGGTGGGGGAGCCTCTTTGCCCCCCCCTTCCCACTAAGCACCCATGCCCCTGGCAGGACAGGAAGAGGCTTTGCACACTCCCCACCTCCAGGCCAATTAGAGCCTGGGGGCAGGGGAAGTGCATGAAGTTTCCTCCCCTATGCCAGGAGCATATAGCACTTTGAAGTGCCCTGTGCTCCTGGCAGGGTGGGAGGGGACTTCCCCCATTCACCTGCCCCCAAACCCTGATTGGTTGGGGGGCAGGAGAAGTGCACAAAGTTTCCTTCGGCCTACCCACGCCATGCGAGGAGCAGGAAGCACTTGAAAGTGCTGTGTGCTCCTTGCAGGGTGGGGATAGAGCGGAAGAATCTTCATGTTCTCCCCCGCCCCCAAGCAAGGCACTTCAAAGTGCTACATACTCCTGGCAGGACAGAGGAAACTTGGTGCGCTTCCCCTGCCCCCAGGCCCTAATTGCTACAGCTTGGTGGGCCGGATCTGGCCTACGGAGGCCCTTTTGCCCACCCCTGAGCTAGAGAGAGAAACTGTGGAACTGGTCTTCATATGCAAAGCTGACACCTTCACACAAGGACAGAACAAAGATATTAGCTAGATGGGCTGTTATATTCAACACCCAAATGACATCAAAAGCTAAGGATCAGACACAGCCCACTCTATTAGACACATTTAGCATGGACACTATAGTTGACAGGGTTTCTGCCTACCCCCACCTCCCTCCTTTTTATCCCTCTGTCCTCTCTTTTTCAGCTTAAAATTTTGGATTTCTGTACCTCTCTGTGGCTCTTGCTCTGCTCATCTGAAGAAGTGGGTTGTGCCTACAAAAGCTCATGACAGTATATAACAGCGTTTCCTAAACCGTGGTCCACGGCCCAGTACTGGTCCTTAGGAAAAAAATACCAGGCCTCAGAAAAATGTTTGCGAGAGCCCGCCTCACGGCCTGCAATCCACAAGATGAACTCTGCACTGAACTCCCAGTGTCAATGGAGGTAGCACAGGCTTCCTGCGGGATAGGGGGGCAGTTCTGCAGCTGCGTACCAGGTTCCGGAAGCGTGTGGGCTGCTCTCCCCCTGCCCCAACAGCCGGTACAGTACCTAAAATGCCGGTCCATCGCATGGTGGGGGCTTTGTTCCCCTGCTGCCTTCCTGTGCGCAGGGGAGTGGGTGGAGATCTGGGACTATGCTGGCTCCAGCTGCTCGGGCGGCGCATGCTGCCATGGAGAGCAGAGGAGCTAGGTGTGCACTGCCCAAGCGGTTGGGGCTGGCACGGTCCAGGACCCCGCTGTGCAGGAAGGCATCAGGCATGCAACAGACCAGCGTGTCAGGTACCGTGCCACCGTTTGGAGGACGGGGGAGCAGCCCGCGCACTTCCTAGGCCTTGGCAGCTATAAGATCGCCAGGTATCGGTCCTGGTCCTGGTCCCTCCCCCCCCACCCGGACCCATACAATACCCTGCCCCAGTACCCACAAGTGCTCTGTCCCTTGCCCCAGCACCCGCAAGCATCCTCTCCCCTGGCCCAGCACTCATTGGCACCCTTCCCCAGAGCTCTGTCCTAGCACCCACAAACACAGTTGGGATCACATTAGTGAGGTTTGAGGGGTTATGTTTTTGTATCTCACTTGTGTGGCCTGGACTGACTTTCTGTGGGCTAAAGTTGGCAATGGGGGCTTTGGGAGGACCAGAAACAATTTATTTGCATATTCATCATCTGCTTAATGAATATGCAAATAAACATTACTGGTCCTCCAAAAGCTTGTGAATGGATTTACTGGTCCCCAGTCTGAAAAAGTTTGGGAACCTCTGCTATATAATGTTTTTGTAAGTCTCTAAGCTTATAGAGGGCCACTCGTTTTTTATTTATTTTTAAAGGAAGCATGTACATTTTCATTTTCTTTTACTGAATGAGTTAAGGACCCATCCAATGCTGGGTAAATCTTCTAGTGAGGTATAAGAGACAGAAAAATAAAGCCGAAATTCTTTCCCCATTGTCAGACGGTCTAAAGGTCTCTGGGCTCTACGCGGTGCTGCTGAGCGACTCCCACCCGGGAGGGACCTGTCGCGGGACCGCCAGGGAAGGCAGCTCGGGGCTGGGCTCGGCCCCCGGGGCTCGCTAGGACGGAGAGCGACGTTTCCAGCCCCTCCCCGGGCTCCTCCCCGGCCGGGAGCTGGGGCCTGGAGACGCTGGGGCCCCGGCCTGCTGCAGCGCCCCGGCTCCAGCCTTGCCTTTT